TGAATAATTTGTGATATCTCATAACAACTTATTCGAGCATGGTCATGAATTTCTAGTCTCTCGATTATTCACACCCCACAACATATGTCGTGATATGTTCAATGTCAGTCTTTATAGTACAACCAGTTACGTGCGTTTAACTATATCAAAACATACAACAATATATGTTGAGATAGTAATAATCTTAAGTCTAAGGATCATACATATGGTTGTCACCATAAGCAGTATTGTGACCGACACATAATAATTCAATACATATGCTCATAGAGGGTCAATCCAATATATTTTTCTCTAACAACATATTCATGCATCAATTCTGACATATCTATGTCAATGAAAACTTAGTGTCATCAATCAGTAACATGTTATTCTAAAGTGTATTATTATTTTCCATGTTCATAATAATACTTGACTAAGGTTCTTTTAACAATAATCATATTATTGTATGGACACTATTATCTTTTAGTATATTTAATACATAGAAATATAACAAAATAAAATAACGATAATGCATTTATTCAATAAATACGGAAAAGAAAATATGTCAATACAATCATCATATGATTGGTCTTTGGGCATACTCTAACACATATCGTATATGATATGTTGTGTGCTCGATATGTTTACTTGTGAATATAGGTTGATGCTGAAATGTTGAGATTTACTTTTATGTTGACTGAATTGTACTTGGAGAACACACTGAGTTTTGTAGCTCATCCTATAGATTCCTTTCCTTTATAGATTCACAACCGATAGGATGATTCTGGTACTTGGAGGATTGGTTAGAGATATTTTAATATTTTTCACAATATGATTATTTTCATATTACTTTTATATTTTCTACCTTAATCGGATTTAAGGTTTATTTTGTATTTGAATTTTTTGGGAATTTTGGATTATAATTTTGTATGCATTGATTTACAAATTTATGAATTCATTATTATATTTTATCTATTGATATGTATTTAGTCTACAAATCATTGTGAATGGTTAACGTTTCTTAACTAAAAGCTTTATATTTGTGATTTATTAATAATTTGATCTCCAAGACTTGATCGTAACGAATAGGCTGACTCTAGGGGACTATATTTATTTATATCAGAGCCGATTACTATATATTATAGATTCTGTTACGCAAAGTGTTGTAGTTGATTCTTTGTTCAAGGACATTTACCACTAAGGTAAGGTTCACGCTTTTGATTGCTAGTTGCTGAACTTTTTTTGAGAAATAAATTAAAGATACCATTTAGATCGCCAAGGATAACATCGTCATCAAGAAGATCAATATCGTCGTCCTCTAAATCGAAACGCTCCTCATTAGGGAGGGAACTCGGTTGTCGGTTGTCCCATTAGCATATCTCCGTAAGATGGGGGAATGATAGTTCGAGTATCATCACAATCCATGTCAGAGTTGAATTTGGGTGAGATTTTTTGGTAAAGGGAAAGTGGTTGCGAGAGAGAAATGTTTGATACTAAAACTAATTAAATAATAAAAACTTTAAAATTTTATTTAAATTTGCCCAACAATTTAGAAACATCCATACCAAATTAAAATTGATTTATAACTAGAGTAAAAATGTTTATACAAAACTAGAATTTCGAATGTGACATAGTTTAAATCAACATAAATCAAACAATTAAACAGTTTACAGATTGAAATACTAGCAAGATCCTATTAATACATATGCTCACTAAAATAAATCAAATATTGTACTTTGGATAGAAGGAGTTGGAATCCCTCAACGACGATGCTCCTTAAATGCGAACATAAACCTATTAACTTGTAAATAAAAACAATTCGAACGTTCAAATTTATATGCTCATTGGTATATATCAGCACTACTTTACTTCATGTAATTCATAAACATAAGCATTCAAATCAAACTTAAACATTGAGACATGACATGATATATGCATCTTATCTTGACATAAGCATCTTATCAGACTTAATCGTCAAACTTAAACAGACTTGCTTTCGCATAACGATTCTCATACGAGCATGGCATACGAATGATACCATATTCGCAATACTTAAATTATTGATTCGGGGTGTATGTTAAACATACAAATATTGAACGAACGAATACTAATAAACAAAATTGCACATGTGCTCAAATAGTATGAGAAATTGAGATAGTTTCACATCACAAATGACCATTATTCAAATGATTTTGAGTGTCTGAGCTATTTTCCCTAGTGACACAAATGACCCCAAATCAAATAATTTAATCGAGTGGCTAAGGTGTTTTCCTGAGAGAAATCAAATTACCAATTTAACCAACTATCATTACAACAACTTTGATATGCAAAGCGCAATTATACGATAAGCTCAATCCAACATTGAAGTTATTTTAAAGTTTTATGCTTAATTCAAATCTTAATCAAGTTATGTTGTATTATGTTCAAGGGTAATTAATCATTTCAATCCTTATGGTCATTTTTAGGCTTATCACATTTAGATATTAATTTTTATTAACATTAGAGGCATTTTAGTCACTTGTGGTATTAAGACCCTCACTTAAGCTTACCTGTTTGTTTTGAAGTAATTAGAAGGTGATTAAGTACAATGAGAAGTGTTTCTAATATTTTAGTAAGATGAGATTTGAGTACTACAACAGAAATACAAATACTACAAATTCAAGAGTACATACACTACTAAGTCAAGAGTATCGATATTCTACCTTGAGTATTGATACCTAACTATGAGTATCGATACTAAACTAGGTATCGATATTCTACCTTGAGTATTGATACTTAACTATGAGTATCGATACTAAATTAGGGGTATCGGTACTAAAATGACACACTGAAATTTTATGAATCATTCAATGTCGATTTTACATGAACAATATTAATTTTGTATGAATCAATATGAATACTCATCCTGAAAACCTATATTTTCAAGGCTATAATCATCTACTTTCGATACTACATTAATAATATCGAGACTACAACCCAAATAACATAGAACAGGGCTTAAAACATTTATCCAAAATATCTCTAAACAGTTGTTTTAAAAACCTACATGATTCTTAAAGCTTATGGGATTACTAGCGCATCATATGGCACCATTTTAAATGTTTTCTAACATAAAATGTACTCAAGTCCTCGTATCATGCTTATCACCCAAAAAAATCAAAATTAGAGATTTAAATTACGAGATTTAAATTACGAGTCATGTTTTTTGTTGCGAACATAACTAATGTTGTTGCGGTCATTATGAGTATTGTGGTCGTGAATTATTTTAATTCGCACCACTTATTGTAAAACATAATAATTTTAATTGATGTTATATTTTTTAAATTTTACCGTAATGAAACAATAACAGGAATAATAATATGTTAGCCTCTATTGGTCATTACTCATTAAATTACAACTATGATCCAAAGTTATTGATGTGCTTCTTCTTCACACTATTATTTTCGTAATTATAGTTTCGGACGGTGTCGCTATCGCTATATAGCAACAGCTATTATGCTACCCGACCATTATTTAAATTCTTGCTCAAAATGCATACATTTGACACACAATGCATCACATTTATGATTCTTTCTCCTTCCCATTAGCTCTAGAGAGCTCACTAGCCTCTTTAGCTAATCAAGTAAGAGGGGAAATAGAACTACAAGTTTACAATTTAAAAATGAATTAGAACTAATTGAAAAGGCTTAGAAAGCCTAAATCCCTCCAAAACCTTTCAAGGAGATTCACACCAAATTTTAGAGAAGATCGTGAATTTTCTTGAAGCTCATGGAATGAGAGCGATGATTCTTACAATTTTCAATCCCATACAATTGGAAATCATTAGAGAGATCACTCTTTTGAAGACTAAGGCTCTAGTGTTTTTGGTAGAGAAGATGAGAGAAGAGAAGTGAAAAAACTGAAGAGAGGGTTGATATCACGATGCTCACCTTGGTCTCTCCCCGTCCAAACAAATATATTGAATGAGATTTCAGCCATGATTTTCATCCAAAGCCAAATCACACTTTTAGTCCATTTTCCTTTTCAACTCAAAAATCTCGTTTGTTTTTATGATCAATTGAGCTTAATTCCCACCCTTTAAGCCCGAACTTTATCTAATAAATCTAATCATATTTACTAATTCGATTCATCTAAGACATGGATCAACCTTCGAATATTGATATGAGAATTCGAGTAGTTACAATTGTATCGCAATTATTATAGTTGTGAATGCACTGGTAATCTCAAAAAATACTTCTTTTATTCATGAAATAAAATATGTTGTAGAAATAAATTGCCAGGATACTATTTGCCATTTCCTTATCATTTTTGCTTCTCTAGCGAATATTTTGATTTGTGGCGAAGATTAACAATTTCACTTTTAATTATGTACATTAATTATCTGTATTAAAAGATAATTTCAGGCTCATGCTCATTTAACCGATTTAAGTGGGAAACTGGGAAAAAAGTGTTAATATATCTTGTAATATAAATATTGATGAAGCCGCCCTAATGCTACTGTTATAGAGTTAAAACTGATATTATAAATATATATTCAAAAATTTCATATAAAATTCATTTTTATTATTTGTTTTCCCTTATAATTAGGGTTTTAAATATATTCAAAAATTTCATATAAGAAAAGCTTTTTATATTTTATTTTTTAAAAATTAAAAGAAATAAAAAAATTAGATCATATGTCAAATATTAATTGATTTTTAACGATTTTTTTAACAATCATGAGAATATGAGAACTTAAATTAAAAGGAGAAGGAGGTATAATTTGAGAATTTTTTTATATTAAGCCTAAAGTGAAAAAAAAAGTAAAAGAGTCAAACTTTAGAACCCTGTTGGCTGTTGCTACCTATAATTACAGTTTAAGAGGGCTTAGGTGTTTCAGTTAATTAATAAAATAATAAAAACCCAATCCCGCTTCTATAAATCCCCCACTTCTCTATCTTCCAATATCGAAACCAACCCCTTTCTCTCTCCCCCCTTTCTCTATCCCTCCCCATTTATTTGTTCATCTCTCTCCTCTCTGCCTAAAAAAATATCTTTCACTCAAATTTAATCATTCTTTTTTTTCTGAAAGGAATAATCAGAAATGGATGTTAAGGCAAGGGAGTGTGCTCCAAATGTTCAAAGCAGTGAAGAGGAAGACATGGAGTTGAAACGAGGCTCCTGGACTGTAGAAGAAGACTTTAAGCTCATCGATTACATTGCCACTCATGGCGAAGGTCGATGGAACTCCCTTGCTCGTTGTGCGGGTAATAATAATATTGATTGTTATTGGTCGGTATCCCCTTTTCTTTTTCGGCTGATTATAACATGTCGGCTTTCAACTTTATATTTATGGCTCATCTGGTCTTGTTCTATTATTCATGCCGTTTTTCCTGGTTTTGTTAAATGAAAACTTTTTATTTGGAGTTTAAATCAGTGATTTAAATAACTTTTACGGTGACGTTTATTGTGGCTACGAATATAACAAATATCATCGCAGTTATTTTAAGTGTCGCTATTGTGAATTATTTTAAAATTTATACTATTTATCTTAAAAATAATAATTTTAATTTTTTTAAAAAAATTAATAATTTTTTAATAATTTTTTAAATAAAAATAATATATATATAATATAATTTAATCAAATATTAAACTCAATAGTAAGATAAAATAATTAATTAATAATAATATTATGAATATATTATTATTTAAAATAAATAAGACTAATAAAAATATTAAAAAAATAAAATTGATAAAAATAATTACTTGTTATTTTTAATTTGTCAAAATCAACATATTATAAATTAAAATTTATAAAATTAAAAAAAAATATGTTATTTAATTTAAAATAATCTATAATATTATAATTAAAAAAATATTAAATCTCAGATATAATTAATTTATTAAATCTGTTTTGGTTCAAACTCAAAACATTAAAAGTAAAAAATTAATTAATTTATTACTAAACCTATTTTGATTCAAACTCAAAACATTAAAAGTAAAAAAATAATTAATTTATAATTGTGTCTATTTTGATCTAAATCCAAAACAGAAAAAGTAAAAAAAAAAATTATTTAAAATATAAAATATAACTAAAAATTTATAAAATCTATTCTTTTTCTGTATCGTACATAATTATTTAAACAGAGCAAATTATTATGAAAAATAGAATATTTTTTGTTAAAATTTGTCCTTTTTATTTTTTTTTATCTTTTTATATTCTTAAATTTTCTTTGCTTAGCTTGACTCTGATAAAAATAAATAAAAATATTTATTTTATTATTGCATGTTACACAAAAAAAAATAAGAAAAAAAATAAAATAAACATATACTTCTCAAAGTGAACTTTTTTTATTTATTTTGAGTTTGGATAATAAAATTTGAGAAAAATTTTAAAGTTTTATTTTAAGTTTTCTGTTGACTTGGTGTAATAGAAAATAACAGGAATAACGAGTCGTTATCGTTGCAATCGACCTTTATCCGTTAAGTTACGACCGTTATCAGTGTGATTCCTGCATCATACCGCTTTTTTGAACAATATTGATTTTTAACGACGGTGCTATCGTGAAATAACAGTCACAATAACGTTTTTATTCCGCTATTTGATACATTGACTTCAAATGTTAGATCGACGTTTGACTGTAACAGTTTATGATTCTTTTTCTGAGAAAAATATAGATCTCAAAAGGACCGGAAAAAGCTGCAGATTAAGATGGTTGAATTATCTCCGGCCGGATGTTCGACGTGGGAATATCACTCTTGAAGAGCAACTTTTGATTCTGGAACTTCACTCTCGGTGGGGAAACAGGTTATTTGATTTATTAACCTAAAACTTATGTATCGATTTATATTTTTTTCTTACTTAGATCGTGGATTTAAACGGAGGTCCTATTTTCGGTTGTTTTGTGTTTATCGTGACTACAAACATAACTGATGTTATTTTGAGTTTCGCGATCTTATAATAATTGTTTCGATCGACACTCCCGTTAATGTTATTATGATAACAAACCATCATTTAAATCGATTGAGATTATAGAGATTAATTTTCATGTTGTACCCTTTTTTTGTTTATTGAAGATGGTCAAAAATCGCCCAACATTTGCCTGGAAGGACCGACAATGAGATCAAGAACTACTGGAGAACTCGAGTCCAGAAACATGCGAAGCAACTCAAGTGTGACGTGAACAGCAAACAATTCAAAGACACCATGCGTTACCTTTGGATGCCTAGGTTAGTCGAAAGAATTCAAGCTGCTGCTGCCTCCTCCACGGTGGCTACCACGGCATCCACCACCACCTCAACTTCGGTTGTGGGATCGTGGAAAACAGTATTCCCCGATGACCACCTTGGGGGCACACAAGTGAACTCCTCGAATTATACTGTAGAGAATTCCAGCACCACCACAGCATCGTCGGACTCTTTCGCGACTCAAGCCTCACTGGTTTCGGATTTCTCCGATTATTACAGCAGCAACAACATCTCCATTAATAATTCTAATCCGAACTGTGTCGAAGAGTTCTCCGGTAATTTCTACAACTATGGCATAGATTTTCAGTCTTTGGAGCAAAGCAACAACCCTTGGCTAGATACCATTGATGCCTCAGACAATCTCTTCAACGCTGAGGAATTTTACTTCTTACAGCAGCAATTCAATTTTAACATGTGAAAAACAAAAATATCTCCAAATACACTAATAAACAAAGAAAATCAGATTGGTAAGATTTTAGAACACACATAGAATTAGCCTAAATGTGGATGATCACTTGATTAGTTTGTATTTTGTTGCAATGAATTTTTATTTGAGAGGGGGAGAGAACTTAATTGTAATGTTTTTTTTTTATTTAATCCCATTAATTGATATTGACAATTTATTTCCTTTTTTTCTTATAGGATTTACAGAAGAAAATTAGTTAAATAATGGGTTAGATTTGAATAATTGGTTCCACCATTTAAATATTTTTATATTATGAGTTATAAGTATCACAGGACTTTGCGTTATATTTTAAGAGCTTTTTGAGTGCTTCTTGTTGTCCATGGGGCATGAACCATAAAATACTTCCAGAATTAGATTATTACAAAAGGTTTAATTTAGTTTTGGTCCCTAAACTATACTGAAATTTGAAATTCAATCTTTATACTTTAAAATTTGAGTACACTAGGGGGTGAAATTCGTAATTTGACCTTGAGAAACAAAGCTTAAGACTAAAATTTTAATTAATGAACAAAATGTAGGAGAGACGTGGTGGAATGTGATTCAAGGAATGATGTTTCGTTTTGTGTTTATCACGTTTGGGGTGAAAGGAAGTTAAAGTACAATGGCGAACTCCATTAACTTTATTAATCTATTTTTATAGTTTGCCTTCGTACGGACACAGTGTTTTGTTCCATTCATCCCATTAACCGTGCAAAGGTTTTACATTGGTGCGTTTAAAAGTTAAATTCCTTTCACACGTTAAATACTTTTACAAATATATTATTATCCAGATTAATAGCTTAATAAATAAATAATTTTATAGGCGTTTTTCCCGAAATATCACATATATCTTATAATTTTTCTTGTCAGACACCCTTCATACTATTTTTACCTATCTAACACCCTTTGCAGTAAGGCGTGCCCCTGTAGTGCGCTTTACGTTGATTTGATGTCACGTGGGGTAAGGCGTGCCCCCTACAGAGCCTTTATGTTGATATGGACACACGTGGCTAAAGTGCGGCCCCTGAGGCACGCCTTACGTCACGTAGGGCTATAGCGCGGGTCAGAGGCCGCGCTTTTCAATTATTGCATGCTCAATTATCAGACATGCATAATGCAAGAAGTGATCATTATTTACCCGGACCTATCGGCTTTAAAGCATGCGCTCTCGGCTATAAATAACCCTCTCCTCGTAAATTCTCTCACAATTCCCTCTCAACCGAGAAATTAATACAACAATTCTTTCAACTAGTAAATAACACCCGACAATAATCTTATATTTAATTCAGAAGTTCGTTCGATCTTTCGTTATAAGGTAACTTTGTTATAATATTTTTATTATACTTATTGTTTATTATGATTATTTGAAAAATATTATAGTAATTGTTTTCAATTAATTTCTGTGTCAGTTCAAGGAGAAAGCAGGAGCATACGTCGAAATATTTTTGCGGTGCAAATAATAATATAAAATTATATTATTTAAATTATTTACGTTTATGTGTAAAAATTTTATTGTGTTATATTTTCGTTCATATATTATTTATTTAATCAGGTTTGTTTCAGTTGTTTTTTTGCAGATATGATATTGTCGCACTTTTAAACTATAAGAATGGCGCGACTTTCAGTTATTGTTTATTATGATGGAGAAATTCGATAAGATGAAACCGGCGTTGTTTTCGTATCAAATGAGCGTGTTAAAATATCATTCAAGAGAAACATAACTCTTGAGGAGTTGATAACGAAGATTTCGAGGAAGGTTCATGTTGGAAGTAATAGAAGAATGCCGTCATTGCAGTACAGATTTCTAACATCATTGTTGTCATTAACTTATACAGCGTTCGAACTATCGAACAATGATGATGTTGAAATGATGGTTGATTCTCAAAGTAATTATTCAGACGGCGATATTGAGATGTATGCAAAGTTTGTTCAAGTGTGTGTTGTTCGGGGTTTGTCATTAAGCTCTCACTATGGGCTGGCTGAACAAGTTGATCAAGTTGACAGCCCGACTACAGTAATGTGTAATGATTTTAACGCCATAATAGGAAATCTGTATCATGGTGCCGTCACATCAACTTCAATGGGGAGACATTCATCCGCAACTCCTTATGATATGTACCGAGGTGGGTCTACGAACAATCCGTATGGCAACATCGCATCCAGTTAAAGGGGAAGGCATTCATCTACAAATTTCTTTGACCTTAATATGACGCAACAATCTGTGCAGTTTCCATTTGACACGATGACTTCAAGCTCCAGGGGAAGGCATTCCACTGCGAGCTTTTCCGATCTCAATGTTGATATGCCTTCTAGTTCAAGGGGAAGACGTGCAAGTAGTAGGTTCTTTGATCTAAATGTTGAGAGCATGGAGGAATCATCATCTCCACCAGAAGAATCACTTCGTGAGCCTGGTACAGATGGTGCTGAGACTGGACTATTCATTCACCCAGAATCACTACACTTCAACTTCGATGATGATGATAATGTAGATGAAGTTCCATTAAATGTAGCACAAACTGACTCTCCAGCACACATGTATGATACTGATTATGGTGCAATGTACGGGCCAGAATTTGCGGATATGCCTCATCTCGGTAACTATGGATATTACTCATCAATAAATAATGGTGAGTTATCTTTAGGCATGGAGTTTTCAAGCAAAGAAGAAGCGATGATGGCTATAAAAATTACAATATCCGTAATTCTCTTCAATCAAGAGTCGATCGCTCCACGACAGAAAAATAATTATACTACTGTGCCTGACGTGAAAACAGATGCAATTGGATGGTTCGCGTATCGAAGAGGAAGAGGAAAAACAACAGATGGGAACTAACATTATACAACGGTCCTCACACATGTTGTGCTGGAGGAGTCAACCAAGATCATCCCAACTTGGACTCTGAAGTGATATGCCAAGCCATCATGCCCATGGTAAAAGCAAGCTCTCGTATAGCTGTTGTTGTGTTGATTTCAACTATACAATTGCAGTATGAGTACACTGTCTCCTATAAAAAAGCTTGGTTGGCAAAACAAAATGCCATTGTCAAACTTCATGGCGAATGGGATGCATCTTACAACGAACTTCCAGGCTGGTACGGAGGTTGAATCCTGGGACAATTGTGGACTTCGAAACCTCCTATGCATACCATAATGATCGAGTTCTTCACGATCGATGCCAATTCTACCAGGTTTTTTGGACTTACTCACAGTGCGTTAATGCTGTCAAATATTGCAAGCCTATGGTCCAGATCAACGGGACTTTCTTGTATGGAAAATACAAGCAAGTTTTATTATTGATAGTTGTCCAAGATGGCAATCGCAACATTCTTCCAATTGCTTTTGCTCTTGTTGAAGGAGAAGATATATATTCTTGGGCTTTTTTCCTCCAAAACTTACGTGTACATGTTATCGCGAGGGAAAAAACCTGTGTAATTTCAGATCGCGGAGCTGGGATCAAAGCAGCAATGGAGTTTTTGGGTCCAATGTGGAAACCACCCTTTGTCCAACATAGGTATTGTTTCTGACACATTGCTACGAATTACCATGGAAGGTACAAGAAGAATGATGAGCGTCAATTAATTATGTGCATAGGTAAGTGAAACTGATGTAGTTTGTTGTCTTTCGATCATTTTAATTTTTCAAAGAAAGCAAGTTAGTAAGTTATACATTTTTTGATCAGGTGTAATAGAAACATCCTGAAGTGTAATCGTGCACTCTCCGCACAGAAGATGGAAGAAGATGGAATGGGTGGGTCTCCGACCTCTACCGCTCCACTAAGGCAGAAATAAGGTATGATTCTATCTTACAGTGACCCTCATATCTACCTATGTGACCGAATCCAACCTCTACTAAATACGGCAAGACACGACTAGGTATCACTAACTTAAGGTTTCTAATAAAAGGAACTAATACACGATCCCTCTCCTAAAATTAAATAATTACAAAAATTAATTTTTAAACTAATAATCATTCATTAAATAAATAAATAAATTATTACTAATAATTTAAATTAAATTAAAATGTTGAAATATTACTGTATCAGCAAAATGTCGCGATATATGATTTTCATCCAAGCGAAGTATACCTCCTTCATTTTATATATACAAAAAAATTAATTAAATAAAATATTAAAAAATTTAAATACTTAAATAAATTAAAAAAATATTAAATATAATAAAATATACCTTAAACAGTTAAAATAGAATATAAGAGTATTTGAGAGAAGTTGACATGATTTAGTGTGATGAAAGTGATTGAGAATGAGGTATTTATAGGGAGGGGAGGGGTGTGAATGGTCGGGGTAGGTGGGTAATTAAACCTAAGACGCGCCGCAGGGGGCGCGCCTTTCTGACGCGTGTCAGCTTTAAAGGTAAAGCGTGGCCCCTACCCTGCGCTATACCCCACATGGTGCCAGATCAACGTAAAGCGCTCTGCAGGGGCACACCTTACCCCATGTGACGCCATATCAACGTAAAACGCGCTGCAGGGGGCGCGCCTTACTGCAAAGGGTGTTAGATCGGGAAAAATAGTCTGAAGGGTGTCTGACAGGAAAAATTATAGGGTATAGGTGATATTTCGAGAAAAACGCCAATTTTATGTCCATGAAATTGAAATACTAATAATTAAAAAAATATATGTATATGTACGAATCAAGTGATATTAACAGTAAGAGAATTGTTGTTATTACTTGAGTTCTCAGGTTCGAACACTAAAAATATCATAATTTATATTAAATGTTAAATGGTAAAAATTTATCTATAAATATATATTATCTTATATTTATCTTAAATTAATAATAAAATATATACGTGATTCTTTTAATTCGACTTGTGAGACTAAAAAAAACTTTATTGACTGTGGGTGGAATATTGATTATTTAATATATATGTATATTAATTTTTAATTCAGTACATGTAAATGTTTAGAAAAATTCAAATGTTGAATAAAAATATCTACCTATTTGAGTGAAAAAAATCAACCAAAAAATACTTAAAATATCTAATACATAATGAAAATATC